GGTTTTGCAATACCAACAGATGGAGATAATCACAAAAAAAAAAAAAAAAAAAAGAACATTAAAAATGGTCATGCAACTCTATTGGACCACTTGTGATAGTTCCAGTTACAACTAGAATTTTTTCTGGAATTTTAGAATTTTTTCTAGAAATATTTTTGAGAGATTCACTTTCATATCTGGCACTTTCTTTCCCACTTGTTTCAGTTAATTTGTTCAGAAAGAACCGTTGTCGTTCTCCATTAAAGTGTGCCTTCTGTAGCCCCCAAATCAAACGAGTAATCAGCATGTTTAACTGTTTTAATATAACGATGGCAATCAGAAACGAATACCTGCTTGGTCCACAAGCTTGTTTGTAGATGTCGAGGTCGTAGAGATTCTAGGTGCCTAGAAAACAGCATCGACCCAGCAATGCTAAAATCATTAATACTGCTTTAGCAAAGTGCTGTTCATGAACCAGCGTCCGTCAGTCAAATTGGATTCACACTTACAAAGTGTCCTCAGGCTTTGCAAATGTTTTCCCTCTGATTGTGACGTCTAATGAATCAACCCATGGTGTTTATCTCAGGGTTATAGCGAAGAAGTGATTGCAATCATCTGAAAAGCTTAAACCTGTGCATTCACAAACAACAAGGTTTCTTTGCCAAAACGTTACGTTTTGAGATGATCTTCTCACAGTGTAATGATGGAAACACTGAGTTTCTTTTCTTTTCTTTTGTATGATGATGCCAAAGAAAAGTAAGTCAGCATATGCTCTGAAGTGGATGTAAACTTTGTCTGGATCTTCTGAAGATCTCAGCCTGCACTGATATCCACTTGTACACTCCTTGACCGCATCATCAATCGAGCATCACGCTCATCAGCGATCACATACGTGAGCTGTCCAGAAATCTTTCGTTTGAGACAAAAGCAACTGATATGTAGCGTACGTGATGCGTGTCAGTGATTGAGGGGTTAGTTCCCCCAAACAAAGACAGTTCTGTATTCAGTCTTGTTGTTCCAAACCTGTTTTGCTGTTCTTTTCCATACAGTGAAAGCGAATGGGTCCAAAAAGGACAAAAAAGTAGTCCATGCGCTACATTCCAAGTTTTCTGGTGTCTTACGATGCTCAGCCCAAATTGAAGTGTTTAATTTACCGAAGTCCTTCCCCAGTCACCGTAGATCTCCAATGTTGCGGCAAATTTGCGAATAGCATCGTAACCAAAGGGATTTTCATCAGAAGACTAGAATACAGCACACAAACCAGTCATTTCGTGTTTCGTGAACAACGCCGCGGTGGATGAACGATGGCTGAATTGCTTCACTCCTTCGCTGGCTTAAATCGCGACGGCCGTCTGCTGTATCCGTACAGACCACAGACAGCGACCTGTACAGATTTCATGTATCTTAGCTGCTTTAATAGGGACTAATCATAGCGCTGGTCATTTGCCGTTCTCTGGTTCAGTATGCACCCAGCGCAGACATGGAATACTGTGCCTTTAGTGACTTAGTTTCAGCCTCCTGCAAGAGTTCAAGCTGCTTTATCATGCTTCGTTGCCGTTCGTGTACCAAAACTATAACATATACTCTACGTAATCTCTGTAAATGTTCAGCTTCTGTGCAATCATTTTCCTCCCACAACGTAAAAGGACAAGAATGACAGAGTAGATCTTGACACTCGTATGTTGTTAGTGAGCCATTCGCTTAAACGACAAAGGGTAACTAGTCTTTGCACTTACTGTTGGCTTTCCCTGGAAGGGTGAATAGCTGGAAATCATCAAGACCATCAAGGGGTGTGCGATATTGATGAAAAACGATATTTTTATATTTTCTGGGATTTTTGTTGATAGTTAGACGAGATGTAGTGTGTTTTTGTGCTGGTACGTTGGCTGGTTTAGGCCCGTCCTGGTTCACAAAGACGTTCATATTCTGTTATTTTGTTAAATTTTCCGTAAATTTTCCATCTCAAGAGGCGTTTAGAAGTATTTACACAGACTGTACAATGCAGCTCAGAGGTGGCCTGAATGCAGTTACACTGCAGTTACAAATGCCTCACACTGTGTCCTAACCAAACGAGCCGTGACAAGATTTTCAGAATGCGAAGTGACAAAATCAATCAAATATCACAGCCAATCAGAAGTGTGTGTGGGCGGGCTTTCTCTGGAAGCGCACTGCACTCCCAACGAAATGGATGTTTATATTAAACCTTTTTAACATTATTAAAAGTACATACTGAGTGACTGATACCATCTTTGTTATGGAATACACGTGTTACATGAACAGTTTTAATGTTCATGTTTGCTTAAATTAAATTTTTTTTTCAAAATCTTGCGTCATTTTTCAAGGTGATGCAAAATGATATTCAGACTCACATTAGACACTTTTAACATTGACTAAAGCACATAATCAGTTCCTGAAAGTATCATTGTCATAGGTTGTATGTTGTTGTTCCAGCTACAACGTCGCAGAAAATAGAAAATTGAATCCGCTGTCGCTGGTTAGGACAAAAACTCAGATTAACATGGAAAATATACCTTTTGTCGCATATCGCAGAATCGCGTTGCATCTGGTCAGGACACAATAAAAATAAAACAATATTTTAAGTATAAAAACTAAAACCACCAGTAGGTGGCGGCAAGTCGTTGAATCATTCCCTCAAACGATTTGTTCAAAAACATGGATTCATTCAGTAACGAAGGGCTCAAAACGGTTTTGCTGTGGCTTTGTTTGAAACTGTTTTCATTGCGTAAAATAGAGCAAAAACAGACAATACGGTGTCTTTTAACTCATTGATTTTACACAGGAATTTTAAATTAAATATCACATTTGCAGGTGTGCTGATATTTGGGAAAACAGCACTTGTGCTCGTGTGATATTGCCAAACTACCATACAAGATAAAAACTTATAAAGAGCATTTTTTTTACCTTAAATCTTGAATTTCGGGTCAATCTGACTGCATTCTGCTAGGCTGCATCATCTAGTTTGTGCCAAGTGAGTGACATAACATCAGCTCTCATATAATTAAAACAATTAGTAAATTATCCTAGAAGACACATATCGCACACCCCTAAGACCCAGCTGTTCTTTCGGATTAAGTGGTTAATCTTGAGCACATCGTGTGGTTCTTGCCTTCTCACTCCATGGAGAAAGAACTGATTATTGAAGAAAAGTCATAATTCATCCACAGAAATAAAGTGAAGCCAATTTGTAGGACCAGTACCCTTTTTTTTTTTTGCATTTGTAAAGATGTCTGGACATATTATTATTAAAATCAGCATGAATAAGATTCATTACAAAAATAACTTCTACTTTTAAGGGTTTCTTTAATGGTTTCTGGTGAAGTATGACCCTCACGAGCTTCACCCGAATATCTTTCAGTGTTGTTGTTCACTTCCAGATGCTCCGTTCAGATGTGGGTCAGTTTACTGATGCGCCGAACTCCTGCAGCGCCTCAGAAACCCGTCGTGAAAGATCTCTCGCTTGTCCAGCAGCAGCTTTTGCTGTCATATCTCTCTCTCTTTCTCTCTCTCTCTCTCTCTCTCTCTCTCTCTTGTCTTGTTTACTATGCAGTGAAATTTTCCCACAAGCCCCTGTGACCGAGCAGTTTTTTCTGTCTTTCACTCTTGAAAGAGTAAACGAGGCGCAGGAGAGGTGAAGCACTTGTAGTCCATTAAGAATCACACGTGTCCAGTAAATCTGTCAACATCTTCCGCTCGACACGGTTAGGATACGATGATATGAATGTTGCAGGAGTTTATCCTTCTATATTCTTTGTTTCAAAGAATGTTGTGCCATTTGTTAATAGCAGAGAAAACTATTGAACATATAATTAGAAAAAAAGAAGAGCTATTTTAAATTATTTTAGGCTTTTTTGCGATATTTATTTTCTTGTATTGGAAATCTTTATAGAAGGAAAAAAAGACAAGTATTTTTCATCAGTGCAAAAACCTATTTTTTCCTTTTTGTACATTTTCCATGTTAAGCAGTCTTTAGAGCAATATAATGTTCATGTGACTGTATGTGCATGCTGTTTGTGATGCCTTAATAACAGCTCCAGTCCCATCATCGCCAGCGCTCGGCTGTGGTCGACCAGTGCAGTCAATAAAGCTGTGCTTTCTGTCTAATGTCTCTGTGCTGTGTGTCGCTACACCACACACACAAAACACAAACATACCCCAGTATAATAGCTTTCAGTAAGTGTTTTAGGGGGAGGATTTTGCAGTGACTCTTTCTCAGTGTTAAATTATTACGCCAGTAGGTGGCGACAAATGTCTGTCTTTATATGGGAGTCATTGAATCATTCATTCAACTGATTCATTCAGGAACAAAGACATACTTGATGGTCTTACGTTAATTGTTATGGCAGTTTTTAAAAACGGCTAATGTTAGAAATGGAATAACTAAGTGAATACCGAAGTGTTAACAATACAGTAAATCAAATAAAACTGACACGATGACTTGCATAAGCGACTGCACAGTCAGCAAATGAGGGTCTAAAACATGCTTGTGTGCCGTTTAGTCCTATATACAGTAAAACTGTTTGAGTTGATTACACAAATGTGATGAATCTTTGGCATAAATGCTAAACCACAAACAAAACAAACACTGGATTTATTTAAAAATGTTTTATCTCTTTACAAAATGTGTTCACATGAAGACATCTACCAGAAACACTGATGTGAACTGCTATGAACATCCCATCAGTAGCTTTATACCCTCTGCATGTGTATCTACTCAAATATACATAAACACACAAATGCAATACAGTATTGTTACAATATTTCCAAAATGCAGTATAGTTTTTTTTGTAGTATTTTTGTTTTG